TTTCCTGGGCATCTTGACCAAGTCACATCCTTTTTAATACATTCTTCCAGCACCACACATATTCTTTGTTAATGTCCTCATGACTGCAATTATTGCTTTAATGTCTCAATCGTCCCACTGGAGTGTAAACCCTAAAAAGAACAAGAGCTATGTTGGTCTAACACATCATCATTTCCCTGATAGCCTACCAGTTATTGCTGTTTCTTTAGCCTATGTGTTGAGTGCACAATAAATATTCCTTTGTAGATTATGATTTGATGAGAGTGCCCCGGGCCTGCAGGGCACTTGACTCTGACTTAGAGCATGGGTATAAAAAGATCATCAGTTATCTGTTAAACACCTACTTACTGACAAAATTAAACATCACCTCCAACAAGTCATGAGAAACTCTTGGTCTTTCCATTCCAGTGTCCCTTCATTTGTTAAATGAGGGACTTGACCCAGGAGATCTGTAAGGCCCCTTCGGCCATAAAACCTCTTACAGTGAGTGACCACCACAAGTCCAAATGCAGATAAATGCAGAGGGGTCAGGTGTACACTAATCCAACAAGCACCCGTGTGCTGGTAGCTTAGTTACCGCTGAGGAAACAGAAGTGGTGGATGTTCTTTTTCTGGCATCGACGTTACCACGCCAAACTGTACACTTGCTTGCACCATAAATCTTATAACGTCTATAACCGAGATCGGAGTGCTCTAAAAGCCTATCACAGGCTGGGTAGCTTCTCAACAAGAGAAATTTATTTCTCAGTTCTTGCAGCTGGAAGTCCAAGATCAGCACGATCGAGTTCTAGCAAGAGACCCTTCAAGAGGCTTCACTCTCCTGACCTAATCACCTCCAGAAGGCCCCACCTCCTCATACCATCACTCATGTTCAGGATTAGGATTTCAGTGTGTGATGCCAGGGACAGGAGGCAGGGCTATGCAGACATTCAGTCCATAACAAGCTGTAATTGATACAGTGTTCCCCAGCAGATGGCTAAATACACCAGCAGACAGCTAAGAAACACAAAATAAACCACTTCCAGAGGAAACGCTGTCTGTTCAGTTGAATTACTTGGAAATAATGACATCTTCTTATCCCAGATTTAGCCCCAAAATGACATAGCTTGGCTTGGCTGTTTTTGTTTTCACTTTAGTCTCACTAAAATGTGTATCCTCTATAAGCTGTGTGTTCTGTGAGACTAGACTTACTTCATTAACTGCCGTGACTCTTGTTTCGTTAGCAAACGGACTCTTGTTTTGGAAACTCACTTTCTACCTGCATGAGGATCATTGTACAGATCAGAGCTTCTCAACATCAGCACTGTTGACATTGTTGATAATTCCCTGTGGTGGAGGTTGTCCCATGTTTTGGGGCTATTTACTAACACCCAGGTCCCTGCTCACCCAGGGCCACTGTCGTGATGACCAGAACATCTCCAGACATTGCCAAATGTCCCCTGGAGGACAAAATCCCCCCCCCCCAATTGAGAAATGCTGGTATAGATGACATGAGTTAAAAGTTTAAAAGCAGAAGACTTTTAGCAGGAACTTTGATAGATACAATTTAAAGAGAAAGCCCTCTCTAAAGGGGAATTTTTTAGTGATCTTTTAATGGCCATATGGTTATGATTTCAGGCTTAATATGACTGTTAACATTATTACTTTGCTTCTCTATTCCACACTTTACTGAAAACTGAGTACTTGTTAATTGCCTTTCTACTCACTATGTATATCAATTTACTTTGAACTATTTTCTAGGGCTATAAATCCTTTAATGATATTCCTGAGATGGTGCAAAATCAAACCACAGACATCATATCAGGTGAGAATCAGAGTTTGAACTCATTTTGTTTCTCTCTGTGTTAAGAATTAGATAATTAATACCAAAAAAAATCATATTGTTAAGAACTATACTTTTTCCCCCTCTTAAAAATAATCTCTCGCTAATCTGGAAAATTAAATGAGCATCAGAGCTTTTTAAATGTGCCGTCTTCACACAGTGATTTGGATTTTAAGAAATAATAGTCCTCTTGAACTCTGATTAATATCATCCTGCTAGCTGGAGGCGGCAAGATCAAGGGCCACACTGTAGTGATGAGTCCTCGTCATTGTCATGAACTGTCAAAGCTAAGGACAGCCATAGATGAACTAGGGAGGTCACACTTTGATTGGTTTCACTGGGGAAAAACTGTAGGTTATTATATTTTCTTTAAAAAAAAGTGAAAAAAGTTTTCCCAGGGATACTATGTATAAGGATTTTCTTTTTAGGAAAATATTTATCTGCCTTCCGATGCTGCTGTAATGGTATCTTAGGCTCTTAAGGTTGCTTATGATTTTGGAGAAGCAAGACTGATTTTTGGGAGAATTCTACTAGTCTTAAATGATTGAATCACACTGTATTTGGGTTATGATATTTGGGGTAAATGTGCAGAGAAAGAGTGAGGTGTAAACAGTTTTTTGTGTAGCAATGGCAATAGACGTGGGTTATTTGCTTAAAGAAGAAATCTCTGAAGCTATATGAGATTTTCTTCTCCTTTTAAATCATCTTCCCTGTGCTTCCTTTTATCTGTTGACCAAGCAGTTTTAAAATGTTGTGTTAGAAATATTTGATTTTTTTTCCTGTAATAGTGTTCTCTCAACCCATTAAGGCTTCGGGTGAAAAGCATTTCACATAGTGCTTTAGATGTTTTGTGGGTTCCTTTTTGTTTCACCTAAGATTCTACTTTAAAATATTAGGATATTAAAGATGAAGTTCTCAGTTTCCTATGCTAGCCTCTGAAGGCTAACACATGCTGTGTGTCTGATAGCCACCTGCTTACTAATTTCTGTGTTTACTTTTTTTTTTGTTCCCCCTTTCTGGACCTCTTCTGCCAATACATGCAGCCCTCCCCTGTAAGTCTGGCAAAGCAAGGTGTGCAGTATGCGTGAGCGAGGTCCATTGCACACAGTGTCATTGCCTAAACACAAGCCAGAGTTTTCCCAGGTCTGGGCGGGTATCAACTCCATTAGCCTGAATATCCATTGCTTATTTTCATGTCTTTCCAAAAAAATAAAAACCCTTTGCTCCCATGTTTTGATAACTCGGCCCTACCCTGCACACATATCTTGAGTGCCTACTGTGTGCCAGGCTCTGCTGGGCTTAGGGGGTGGGAGATGAATAAAGCATGATCCCTGCCTGCCCTTCAGCTGGGCATGTATACAGATGCATTTTCCCACACTCTAGAGACATGACAAAGTATGTGCAAGGGATCCAAGGTGGGAAAGGCTAGTGGAATGCTTCCTGGAGGAAGCAACATCTAAACTGGACCCCGAGGGAAGTATTTGGGGAGAGAGGACGCCGGCCATGATGGTCACCCAAGCTGGCAGGGCCAGGGAGTTGTGTCATATGGGAGGGCAGACAGCCTGAGAAGCAGAAAGAACCTATTTCTGAGTCTAGGGAATGTTCATAGGTGAGGGAGAGTCTGCAAACCACATCTCTCAAACTCCCAGAAATCCTAGAGTTAAAAAAGAGATCCACCAAGTCACCTTGTTGAGGATCCTCAGGCTTTTGGACATAGGTGGAAGAGAATTGAGACACTGTGGGTACCAGTCTTCTCCTAGGAGCTCTGTGTGAACAACACACTTTGAAAAAGATCCCCACCATCTTATGTAATTCCGTTTTGATTTATGCAACCATCTGCCATCCGAAATTCACCAGGAGCCCTGGGATCACGTTGTGAGAACAGCTCACCTTGTCTCTGCTGCTGCAAAGAGATTTATCTCCCTTTTCAGGATCAGCGAACACTTAACTGATTAGCACGTTCTTAGGACATCTGTGTCAAGAATCACTGTGGATAGTGGCAACTTCATACCTGTGTGAGCATTGAGTTAGGTGATGCCCATGTCCTAGGTAACCTTGATCCCAGGACTTGTCACAGACACACTTCCCAGAAACTTAGAACTTATCTTTTCTCTGAAAGGTTAGGATGGATGTTACTAAGAAACTCTTTGACCACTGGGAATACATTGCTATCTACATATGAGAGACAAAGATGTACTTTAACAAGTCTTAATTTGTAGGCGTCACATACAATTTGAACAAAAATGTCGCCCGGGGCTCACTTGTTCAAAAAATTGTTCCTGGTGAATTATAGTGTTCCTGAATGCTACTCCTTATTAAATTTATTTTTTCCAAAATCATTTAACCGAAGCTTTGGAGTTAGACAAACCCGGGGTTCAATCCTATTTCTAGCACTTTCTGGAAAAAAAAAAAAAGACCTATAGGCAAGTAGTTTAACCTCAATAGACTTCTGGCTCACTTCATAAAATAGGAATAAGAATATCTACCCCAGTGGGATAAATGAGTTAACATTTATAAAAGTGCCTGGTCTGTGGTAGGCATGCCATATGTTTTAGTCACCAAGGTTCATTCTATTTCTTTAGTGAAATAAGTAGCAGAGGAAAACTCTGGCTTGACTTCAGCACCATGTCATTAAAAGTCAGCGCTCATAGCTTGCCGTTTCGTTAAGTAATTGCTCTTTGATGGTCTTGGCTACATTCATGCTTGTTGTAGAACCTTTCCACGTTTTAAACACATACATAACATGGGGAAAACTCAAAAAGTGGTTGAAGCTCTTCATTTTTGTTCCAAAAACAAAGTTTCTGTTTCCCCGTAGTTTTGAAAATGCATAACCTGGATATATTTGTTTTCAGATGTCAAAAGGACCTTGAATTCCCTTGGCTCAGATATTGAAAATATGAGCGAACAGATTCCTATTCAGGATAAGCTGTCAGATTTCATAGGTTACATTAATGACACTGAAACTTACATCCACCGCAATTTGCCCACGTTGGAAGAGTACGATTCGTACAGGTGAGTGCCCCCCTGGAGCTGGCAAACTAAAGAGCTAACCTTGCTCTGGAACAGAATAGAGATCTGATATGATAACTAGGATCATCATCTTATGAGAGAAGATCGTACAAAGAGCCCATAGCCTGATAGGTGTTAACCCTAGTTTATGTTTATTTAAAAAGTTGGAGTGCTCGCTTTGGCAGTGCATATACTAAAGTTGGAACTAGACAAGAAAGATTAGCATGGACCTGCACAAGGATGGTATGCAAACTCGTATATTATGTATTTTTTAAAAATGGCTCAAGAAAGTTCTTGAGCCAAGTAGTCAGTAACTTGCCATTTTGACATCATTAATGGCTTCTAGAATCTTAGTCATAACTATCTAACACATGTAAAATTATTTTAAAGCCTGAAAATAATTAAGGAGAGCATTTGAATAATATTCTTCTTTTCATTGGCTTAAAAAATAAACATGTAAAGGTTTGTTCTCACAGAAAGAATTTCCTCGAAACGAGTAAATTGCTCAAGAGCTCAGGGAAGCAGCTGTGGTCCTCAGCTGTTGATTGCTGCATTAGAAAATGTTAGCAGTGGGGTTTGGCCCTGGAGACGACAGTGGACATCTCAGGCGGGAGTGCTAGGGAGCCATGGACTCACAGACTTGAGGAATTTCAAGGACCACATGAGATAAGATGTGCTCTCCTCTCTGAAAGGCTCAGCCCCACCACCCATCACTTTCAGAATCATTCTTACAGCCCAAACTCATGGAGATTCCAGAGACTTTTCTTCCTGTTCTGGTATTTGTTATGTAAGACCCCAAGATAAATAATAAAATACTAACAATAATTGCTAGCATTTCAGAAACAGTTGAACAGTTGCATTGTGCCCTCCAAAGTGTGTTTCGTGGGATATCTCATAATACTTAAAAAAAAAAAAAATCTGCCGTGTTGTGTTCTATTTGTAACCTTGTTTCACAGACAAGTTGAAGCTCAGAGGAGAGGAATAACCTTCACAAGGTCAGCAGCAATGTAGCAGAGATGGGTTTTCAACTCCCATCTGACTATGCTCTTAATTACTACCCTGTAATCATGAAGACATTTTCTTACTGCGGCTAGGCCATCCCAGAAGGTGTCAGGACAAACATAAGACAGACCCTTTCTCAATGAATTTTCAATATCATTAGAGGTTAGAGTTTCACAAATGGAAAGAATGATACAATTATCTGTCTATACAACGGGCTCCCCCTGCCCTGAGAACTAGAAGCTTATTTTTAAAAGGAAATCTAACCAAGCAGATGAAGCACGTATTAGCTGCAAAAGATTTCTGAGGTTCCATGGCTTGTTTAAAGCCCCAGTGTCTGGAACAAAATGCCACAGAATGGGTGCAGGTGGCTATTATAATTATCAAAATTGCTCTTAATTTAATTAAAAGCTTCAGTGGCAGTTTTTGTCACAGAACTAAATTCTTTATTTTTTAGTGTTTTACAGATTGGAAAGCATTTCTAGCCTTGAATGCTCCTCAGCTCCTGGAAAAGGTTGTTGTTCATTCCGGGAATGCCACTAAGACCTAATTGATGATCCATTATCCTAAAATGTCTCACAGGACCATTACAAAACTGAGATTTGCATTCTACAGGCTTTTGATTTAGGATGGTTGTAAATTCAGCGCACTCCCCATGTAGAGTTTCTGGTTCAGCAAAGAACACGATGCCCCCTTTCCCTAATAATTCTTGCAACTACAAAGCATTTTAGAGAAAGACCAGGGAAAAGAGCCTGATATTTCTTTATCTGTTATCTAATCATGATCCACATCTCGTCATCATTATAACAAGTGCTCACAGCATCGGGGACCTTGACAGGACTTACAGATCTGAAGGGGTACGGTTATCAGTAGCTTTGGAGAACCTGAGTAAACCCTGCTTTAGGAGCCCCACAGAAATGAAACAACGGAAGGGAGCAATCGTCTCCCAATCAGTGAGAGAGACAGAGTTCTTCAAAACCAAGATAAAAATTAAAATTTCCTGCTGGTTGGGTTGGAGGACTAGGGGTGAGAAGGGATCCTGTCACTACAGTGTTACTCTCCGAGGAATTAACAGGGGAATCTGATATTTGATTGCCAAGTATTTCTCACCTGCTCCAGCCCTAGTCTGACAGCTTTTGTGTTATAACAGTGCCACCTCTTTTATGTATAATAACACCGTGCTTGCTTCACCAGGTGGCTGGGTGGCCTGATTGTCTGCTGTTTGCTGACCCTCATAGTCGTCTTTTATTACCTGGGCTTGATGTGTGGCACATTTGGCTATGACCGGCATGCCACCCCGACCAGACGAGGCTGCGTCTCAAACACCGGGGGCATCTTTCTCATGGTGTGAGTGTTTGCTCTTCCTTGCCATGTGGGGGGTGAAAATGTAGGTGGGAGAGCAGATGGCATGAAGCCAGTGGCCTCTGCGCTGAGTGTTCTGGGTTCCAGTGGAGCAGGCATCCCCATGTGATTGTACCTTTCGTCGGTTTGGGAAATCCCGCCAAGTGTAAAAAAGTAAAAGAAAACTCTAAATTGTTTGTACTTTGATAGACAAGCTGAAATGCAGCGTCTATAGATGGTGGGCTGCTCTGTAGCTAAATTATTTCTAAGCTTGCTTTCTTGATTCCCGTTGTATTTTCTCTCTCTCCCTGCCACCCCCTCCCCGCCTCCCTCCATCCATCCATTTATTTATTCACCAGAAACTTGCTGAGGATTGGCCTGGTATCAAACACTGTTCTCTGTGGTCAGCAGTATCATTAGCTTGTTTACTTTGAAACTGGAAACTTGATTCAGCAAAGGGATTGTCGACCCGGCACCCTTAGGATTTCGACTCGTAACCTAAATTAGTGATAAGAGCAGGTGTGGGGTATCAGCGAGAGGCAAACCTGCAGTACACTGGAGCAATTGTCTCTACCTCAAAGACATTCATACCCAAGCTCATATTTTTGAAACAAACAAACAAAAAACCTTTACCAGGATGTGACAAAGCACAGAGGGCATGAGCTGGGTGTGACTGGAGATGGAGCCAGAAATGTCAAGTAGGAGGCAGAGGTAGAAGCTTTGAATGCACCTCAGAGAGGAAGCTGTATGGCTTCCAAGTTGACATTTTCTTTTCCAGTAAGTATATCAAGAATCAGCAGCGGGGCGTGTGATGGGGCTGGAGAGGAAGGTAAAGCTTTAGAACAAGTTCATGGAGCAATGGAGAATCAAAATCTCAGCCATGCTCTCATTTCTCTGCTTGTATCACTAGTAGCAGGCTGGGAGAAGCTGGTCAGCAAGTGTTGTGCATTAACGTGCTTTTTCAAACATTGGGTCACTACAATAATTAATTAGACTGTTGAGTCATGATGGTAAGCCTTTCCCTCAAACCCGTAGCCTCCAGTAGAGTACAGCTTTTATTAGCATTAACACAGCCACAAAGAGCCTTCCAAACAACCTTGAAGCTAACAACACGGGAATCTGCCAGAATCGGACACAACTGAACAGCGCTCCATGCATGGAAATGCCTGTGTGCTCACATACCTACACTTAAGAAATTAACCCAGCAAGGAAGAGTATATTGCCCTGCCATTTTGTATCTGTACACAATTACAGATTGTGTACAGATACAAAATAGTTTAGATAGAAAATGAGTTTAATGTCCAGATTTTACTAATCCTGGTACTTGGCTGTTTTGTCAGTGTTTCAAGGTGAGTCTATGCACCACATCTTTTTAACTGCTTGGTGGGAGGGAGCACCTTGCTCTGAAAAGCTGCACTTCTCATAAAATTCTATTTTGCACATTTTTAAGAGTCGAAGCCAAAATATATGCTATCTGGCTTTGAAGATAAAAGAAACGGGAATCCTGAGCAGTGAGATGGAGTCTAAAATTACTTCAATTTGGGTATAATTCTCACCTCTGCAGACTAAGGAATCTGTGAAGAGACAAAGTCACATGGAAGCCCATGGCTTGGGAATGAAGGGCTTTATCACATGGTAGGAAAAATGCTGGCCAATGCACTTCAGGTGCATTGTTGACACCTACCACTTAGCATGGAATTCATGTTTGCTGTGCTTCCATGTCTCTTGAGACATCTGGTAAACAACTGGATAATTATAAAGGAGGAAAATGGTACAAGTATAGTTAGTGTAGTCAAACTGATTAGATGAATGTAATTCCCTCTTAAAAACTGTTTATTTGGTTGTAGGAACAAGAATGAGTGTATTTTGTTCAGCTACAACCATAACACCACCTGTTCTTAAAAACAGTGACGCCATCCATTGAAGAGCATGGTCTCTTCAAAAACCAAACAAGAATCCTTATTTCCCAGGGGGCTCCTAGTGAAAGAACTGGCAGGAGGAAAAGTAGAAAGGCCTGGCTTTGCTCTGATACTGTGTCTTCTGAGAGTCTAGGGAGCACATTAGGGACTGGATGGGATACAGTAGGAATGTACATCTGTCTCAGGGGCACATGGAAGGTCTCCCTTGAGGTAAGGAGACCTAACCCAGGTACAAAGAAAACAACAAGCTCTTGTACTGAAGCCCACTGTGAAACTTCCAGTTTTAGCTCTTGCAAAACCACACTCAGATTATCCGGAGCTTTGAAGAAAAGCTAATACCCAGCATGGCCATGGGTGTCACAAAATGGGCCACATGTACACACCGGTGGCAGTTCAGCAGTCATAGATATTTCAGAAAGCAGTTTGTCAGGCTGTAGTTGGGGCCAGAAAGACACAACAATCTCCTTGGCCAAGTCATCTCCATTTTAGGGGATCGGTTTTTAGGAAGAAGAACCCAGCTGTGGAAAAAGCATCACAAGCAGGGAAGTGTTCTTGCACTTTTAGTTATAATAGTGATGCATTGGGAATGACACCAAGGTCAGCCACCAAAGAGTGAGAGATCCTGGGGTCACTGAAATGTAACCAGGTTGTCTACCTTGGATTGTTGACCAGAGTCCCTAAGATGATTGACAGGGGCTCACGAGATTATGCACGTGTCACTACCATAACTGTGTAGATTTAGGAGTCAGCACACGTTTCTATAAAGGTCCAGATAATAAATATTTTTGCTTTTACTGGCCACATGCAGTCTTTATTGCATGTTCTTTTTCTTTTTAAAAAAATTTTAATAGTTTTATTTAACCTATGACATCCAAAACATTACCATTTCAACTTTCAATCAGTATAAAATTACTGAGGCGTAGTCTATATGCTTTTTTTCTCTACTAAGACTCTGAAATTCAGTGTGTATTGTACAGTTATGACACATCTTTATTTGGAGTAGCCACATTTCA